TCACTTAGGGACACCGAACAGGGCATCTTGCTGGATCCCTAAAACACCGAACCCTAGGGATCACTTAGGGATCCACATACCCCGATTCAACCTCCCGTGGCCGGAACTCTCGGCTGTCCGGACTGGGAGTCCCATGAGTCTCGTGTTTGGGTGATGTGGATGGCATTGGTCGATATGATTCGGATAACCAATGATGACCAATGATGACCATGTTCCTGTTTCACCGGAGGTTGCGTTTTTTTTTTTTTAATTCTTTTTTGGGGGGTAATTTGTTTTATAAGCCATTGAGCATCATTGAGCTTACAGGTGGACTCGAAATGAACAAAAACGGGTGGGGTCTGTGCAGCAAGGTCTATACAGTGTTGCTTGGGTGGGGTCTGGGGCATCGTTTTGGGACGTGCACGCGTCGGACGAGTCGGGTTCTTCCGGGGAAGGGGACTTGATGGCCTGAAAATCGTGAAGCTATGGATAGCATCAGGAAAAAAGTCCGAAAATTCCTATACTGTATATATATATACTGTATATATGCCTACATCGACCCCTTTTCAACCACCCCAATGTAGGTAAATATGCCAGTCCCATGTGGAACACCTCCTGTGAGTAAGAGGAATGTTATCATCCAGGCCTTTTCATCCACGTCCCAGCTGACCAAATGTGCACGTTTTGTCCAAGGCCCTGGTATACGGTTGTTTTTTTAATATATATGTTGTTTCCTTGAGAGGGTACTTTTGTCCATACTTCCTGCCTCAGTTGGTGCTTCGGACAAAACAGGGTCCCGACGAGTATACATGAGCTCTATGGAAGCTTATTTTCCAAAGATCCATGGCATTGGTACATTCAATCAGTCTAATGCACCTAGGTAATAGTGATAGGTCACTATTCATTAAATCAGTCACTATTACCTGGTATACTCATTACGTGCATGTTTGGCATGAATGAGTTTTCATTGTTTGTCAATGATGTCACCTTTATTTCTTGACACCAACGGCCAGGCAACAATCTCAAACTGCAAAAATCCTAGACCTCCTCAAACCACAGTTGCAATTCCCAGGATATGTATTGTACTTCCCAACCCAAATCAGTGAAGCTATGGCGTAAAGGACCAATAAATGGACCTGGATACTCTATGTTTGATGGAGGGACATCTCCTATCTCTATTTGTTGTCAAGCTGCACATATAAGGATGTTATGTTGGCCGTGGCATCAGGTCTCAACTTATTTTCCCCGAAGGGGATGTGCATTGGTGCACTGGGAGAACACAGAGGATGTCCGAAATTGGAGTATTGATGAAACGAACTGCACCCCAAATCAAGGGAACTTTGAGTATGTACATGTATTTACCTTGATCTTTGACGAACTAGGAGGATTTGGCACACAACTTAACTTGCGTTTGTTGAGCCCGGACTCCTGGACCACTCTGAACCTCGCGGACCTCGCGTCCACCACCTCCAGCTGGATGTCTTTATGCCTCCAACGGCCACCAGCTGTCGCGCAGCGCCGGGATGCCGAGTGGACGTGGCACACGGCGGGCTCCGCGCCTCCCATTCGGGGTGAAGGGTCGCGGGAGAGGGGTCAGGGAGAGCTCAGTGATCCCAACTGATTCTGACATCAGCTAGCACAACTTTGGTAATAATAATCTAAATATATAATAATTGCATATATATAATAGACAGTACACATATATACATATTATATTAACATTATAAACTGGGGAATTCCTTTTCGATCAAGTAGTGGGTTGTCCACCAAACCATGTGAGAGCTGAATAGGGAGTACTGTAGATCACTCACACCATTTGTTGCAACCTCCAACAAAAAAACCGCCACTGACCCGATCCTCCTTCATGAAACATGTTCGGAAGATAGAGAGGGCATGTCCAACCTATACAGAGAAGCTCTTGCGGACGAAGTCGAGTCGCAACGTCCATGGACTTGGCGATGTCGAATGGATAGCAATCAATACATTTGAAATCATATATACTGTAAACATATGAAACACAACAAAACATGTAGAAGAACCATCAAAACATTTTGCCAAAGAACAGCCCAATGATTTGGCCGGGCACCGACGGAGCGTCCCGTCCAGGGTTGCTTTTTAGGTATGGCTGACATGGCCCTGTTCCGAGTTGACCAAAGACAGAGCGAATTTGGGCAAAGCCACAGTTGAATCACTTGTTGGAAACTTCATCGGTGAGATGATGAGGGAAAAAAACATAAAAAAAACATGTACCTTGTGAAGGCATCAAACTGATATCATCATATCATCCATCATATACATATAATGGGTGTTTTCTTCCACGTGTCCATGACACTCATTCGCATCGAGAGCGGTCTTGTGCGCCGTGCATCGATGCATCGACGCTTGGCCCGAAAGCGACGCCGCTGCCGGCCCACCTCCAGGCACGCCCGCCGCGCGGGTGTGTATGTGTGTGTGTCCACCCGTGGGCAAAGGGTTTCCTACCGCCACTTCAACTTTCACTTTTCAACCACTGACTCATCGGCAGGGGGACCAGGCATCTCGCTGCTGACCTGGTCTAACAAAGCTAGGCAGCGAGATGGGAAGCACCAAAGGACGCTTTGGTGTGTACCTGCCACACAACTTTTGCACAAGCTGTTCACTCTACTTTTCCACGGTTTGGTTCATGGTTCTTTCACGTTCCTTACCCCATAAACAGGTTTCCCACAGCTGCTTTCAGCCGCCGTCGTTCAACCGCGGTTCTGCAGACAAGTGAACAATTTGTTCAACAATTCAGTTGCGCTGACCCTTTCACCTTGCGTTTCCCTCATTCCTTTTGACCTGGGAACTGAGTTAACTGAATACAATTGTCAGAGTGTGTTTCGCTCAGCCGTCCCACTCGGGTGCTGAGTGTGATCCCCGTCATTGGGGCGCTGTCTCATCGTGCAAGCATTTACTGACCTCACCACTCTTCACAGGAATCCCACAGGAAGTCACCTACACAACCACCGAATTAACTGCCACCACGGCCGACTGCACCGTTTTTGCAAGGTCTTTCTGCATGGCTTTTTTCCGCATGTTTCTGCATATGCGCTCAAGCAATCCGACCTGATTTTCCAACAGGTTAATTCGAGATGCATGAACACACCATCACACGCCACACTCCACATGAAGACAACTCTCACAGCTGCTGACGCTGCTGCCGCCGAGCTAGTGAGGCTTTATGTCCAGAAAGGACACAATCACCAAGCCTGCCACCGATTTTTGAAAAAAGCGCCGACAACGGCGACCTGTGTGTGTCCACCCGTGGGCAAAGGGTTTCCTACCGCCACTTCAACTTTCACTTTTCAACCACTGACTCATCGGCAGGGGGACCAGGCATCTCGCTGCTGACCTGGTCTAACAAAGCTAGGCAGCGAGATGGGAAGCACCAAAGGACGCTTTGGTGTGTACCTGCCACACAACTTTTGCACAAGCTGTTCACTCTACTTTTCCACGGTTTGGTTCATGGTTCTTTCACGTTCCTTACCCCATAAACAGGTTTCCCACAGCTGCTTTCAGCCGCCGTCGTTCAACCGCGGTTCTGCAGACAAGTGAACAATTTGTTCAACAATTCAGTTGCGCTGACCCTTTCACCTTGCGTTTCCCTCATTCCTTTTGACCTGGGAACTGAGTTAACTGAATACAATTGTCAGAGTGTGTGCATGGGTGGTTACATGTTATTTACCCAGAAAAACTGTGAAGCGAGATGAAGGGCGTAGATGGAGGGGCTGTTGGAAACGGAACCAGCGACACAGTGAAACGGAACCGGGCCGGTGTCACACAAGAAATTGGAGCTTTCTTGTTGGAACCCTGAAAAGGGTCGGAGGAACAGCTTTGTTTCATGAACACCTCACACTCCGACTCACTAACATGGAAGTGGAAAACCTCCTGTTTGTAAAGGAAAGTAGTCTTCCAAAGGGTCATTTTCCACTTCCATGTTAGTGAGTCAGAGTGTAAATCGGATGCGTACGGGTTTGGGCAGTTCTTTCTGCTCGGAGTGCTGGACCAGTCGGAGAACAGCTGAAGAACTGGACCTGGAAACATCCTTTCTGGGGCGACCTATCGCCTGCCGGCTGATGACTGTCAGTGATTTGGGGTTTTGATGGTGAAAAGAGGTCAAGGGCTTTACGGTGGTTTTGATGGTCGAAAGTACTTGGTTTCCTGTCGTTTTGATGGTCAAGTTAGAGTGGGCAAGCCAAGTGTGAGAGACAAGACCAGGCGAATCATAGAGACAGAGTGAGAAAGAGAGAGGAGAGAATTTTTTTTCGCATTGGGATATGATGTCCATTGGCTGCTGCCAGTTTTGACTCTCCAGCCATCAAAAAGGAATAATTTCTAAACCATCAATCCACAGAAAACGGCCAAAAACCCTTATGTTTGTCGCATGTGCCAACTAACATGGTAGGCCTCGTTCGTTTGCAGGAAGCACTTCGCCGTTCGTTTGTTGCGCCATGTCGTGTTGTGGACGGGGTCCCTCGACTCCGCTGGAGCACTTCGCCATGATGCTGAACATGCAGAACCGGAAGAGAGGCGTGTGATGGCTTCCCTCGGGCTCCTGGCCCATATCCCCCCAAACACCCGCCCCAACCCATTTTTTGCCAACGAGGTAGTTGGAGCCCTGGGGTTTTGAAGAACATGAACGTGGACCTTTTCGCTGACATACTGGCTTTCCCGTTTTCTTGGCACCGATGTTGAAGGGGTTTAACCCACGGTCCCATCGTTTGGAAAGACCCTAAACCCCACCTTTCTCTTGGTCTGAAGGTGCATGTGCAGGTGCAGCACCAGGTTGGACTGAAGGGTCCAGAAGTGGAAACGAAACACTCTCAGAGGAAGATTGGACCGGAAAAGGGCACCTGCGTAGCTGGAAAGGCTCGGTCATGTCATGCTTCCCCTCCGGCCAAGTCGCAGCATGCTTCCCCATTCACAGGTGCGGTTTCCGCTCCGCTCCGCGCCCGGCAGAATCCGCCCTGGACATCCTCCCAGGAGACGAAGAGACCATGAAGATGAGTTACCCGATGTACACTGTAGCAGCCGAAGTGCTGTTGAAGATGGATCGACTCCGACCGCATGAACGGTTAATGGAGCAAGGGATGCTCGTGGAGTTCAAGAAGGGTATGGGAAGCCTGGCTCCGAAGCTCCGGACGTCTTATTTTTCTTAGTTGTTTGGTGACTGGTGTGCCACTCAACTTGTGAATCTTTTGCCATAGTATGTAAATATAACATAACAAGTTACAGTAATATATATATATTATATAGATATGCACATACAGTTATCATATATATAATATATACATATACACATAATGGACCTGGTAATCCATGAAGACTGCAGACATGTTTTTTGGTGTTTACACTTTGGTACTTGTTTGGCTTCACTTAGTAGCTCGTCATGGAAGTGATTATTGTTCTCTCCTATGGTCATCTCAGGAAATGCGGCCTTCGTTTCGCATCAGTGGGTGGGAGGGGAACATCCCGATCCAGAATCTCAACCTTGGTTATAGCAGAAGTTTTCAGATAGGCAATGAATGATAGCTAGACTCTTTTCCTCGCAGACGCTGTTTCTATGTGTTTCTTTCCTGTTATATCTGACAAATTGTTTCATTTGCAGCAATGCTGAGAACACCTTTTCACCCGCAGTCCTTCTTCAGTCGATTCTCGTAACGTCGTACATGTCCGAAATGTTCAGGAAAGCCCAGAGCAGGCACACTGGGACATTCTTGTTTTGAGGGCCCCAGTTTCCCTCAAAATCTGTTGGGTCCCCCGCGGAAACGCTACGATATAGACAAACCTTTCTAAAAGGTGTTTGATGTGAATGAAGTGTTGGACTTGGCTTTGCCATGCCTTGCTTGCTTCCATTATTACTCACCGCCCGGGTAGTTTCACTCTCAGGAGTTCAAGCAGTTCCAAGTTTTACAGGAGGCCTTGCGACGCACCCTTACTGACTTGAAGGTCATTGAATTGGACATCTACACGGAGAGTTTTGTTCCGAGTGCCAAGAGCTTGCCAACCAACAAGCTTTGGTCCGAAGCACTCTTCGTGTGGTATGAGTCCCGGACAGCACAAACACAAGCACGATTTTGTTCCGTTTTATGTGTTTTTTTAAAACATGTGTTTGCTGTTTTGTGTTTTTGAGTATTTCCTGCAGTCACTGTCAGTCAAAGTCAAACACTTGGATGGCTCCTCCCTCGGTCGCTGAGGACTATTTTTCGTGCCCACAGCTCGAGCACAACGGGACTCACTACACTGATATCAACCAGACAAGTGATCTTGCTCTTGCCATTGAAAGCATCCCTGCCTATATCACAAAGTGCCTGGGTCGGCCAAGCGGGTTTTCTGTTTCTGTCCAACAACTCCCATCCACTCACTGTTTTCGTTCAATGGTTTTAGTAGAAGCATTCCATGAAGCTTGTTCAGTTGACATCCTGGCCAATTGAGGTGTGCATTCTTCTTTGTCTTGTGCCCCACGATTGAGAAACCTGCGCTTGCGCCAGAGTTGAAGTTTTTTTTTTGTTTGTTCAGATCTCTTGGGAGTCCTGTTCACCTCAGTGCCGCATGGACCGTGCGTTCTTTGCCAAGACGGAGACACCCCATGGCCGGAAAGCACACCGCCTTCCGCGACCGCTCCGGCGACCCCCCCCGGACAAAAGGCACTTGGGCCGATTGCCGCAAGGGTTTCAGCAGGTGTCCTGAGTCCAGGGTCAGGCCTCACGGCCGATTTCCTCAATGTGATTTTTGGTTCGTCAATTAGTGCAATGACAAATTCTGTGTTTCACAGGATGTGGCCGTCAAAGCGAATAGGTGTTTACTATGTTTTGTTTAGTTAGTCAGGAGGCAACAGTCAACAAATTATGTATAATCCTCCATTTGGATTGTACTGTAAAACCTCTTCATACGAGGATGTTAGTTATTGTATATATGAATTAATCCAGAAAGTCTACATTATAGCATCACCAAGGAATGCCGATTCCTCCAAGTTGTTCACTCCTGTGACCTGGGCTCAGCGTGGCTGGTGCCGCATGGAACGCGCCTGTCGAGAGCTCTCCATGGATGCTTGACCGCGCGTCTTCGGTGTTTTTTGGGAGGCGCAGGCTATAGGCATGGAGAGACCCCTAAGGATTGGGCGAATTGGGCGAAAGCATGCGAAAGCCCTAAATCCCATTCCTTCAGAAGAGAGGTTGTAGCCTGAAATGTGTGGTGCTCTTCCCGGAAGAGTGTTGCTTTGCAACGAGGTGCCCAGTTGCCTATATCGTTTAGATGTCCCATCGCCAAAGTGTCACACACGTGCGTCCAGGTCCTCCGTGCTCAATGGTTGCTCTATGTTAGGAATCCATAGGAAAAAACAACGTTTTTGGGAGCAAAACCAGGGAATTTCGGTGTTCCCAACTTGATGTGTTTTTTTGCCTGAAGCTGCCCTTCCCCAAACCCAGGATGATTTTTCGTAAGGGTTTTGGTCTCCAGCATGATCCATAGGTTGCTTTACCACAGTTTAGTCAGTCCTGAAGCCAAAATCAGTGATCCTTTTCTTCCGCTCGGCTCTGTGAACTCCCACACGCCTCCACCAAAACATGCGCATATGCGTGCTTGTGCTTTTCACCTCCAAGCTTGACTTATTTGGCCCAAAAAGCACCTCAGAAACAGGGTTGGCCGCACAGTGGGCTATGATATAGTGCCTTCTGGTGTGTTTTTTTGTCTCGGGTGCCAAGTCTCCTCCTTCCAGCTGAAAAATCACAATCCCTCACCCTCCCGGCAAGTCCTCGCATCGAGGAAGCTTCGTGGATCATGATCAAATCCTCGGGGTGGTTGGAGCTTATTGGCTCGCCCTTGGGATCTTTTGCCTTTGGCGGACCTGCTGGGGAGGGCCAATTCAGCAGCTGAGCTTATAGAGACGTTTTGCGACTCGAAGGTAGGTGTTTCTTGGTATGTTTCTTTTGGTGCCACGATCCACTCACTTGCTGGGTTTAATATACAGTCCCTTTGGAACTGGATTCTAAAGGCTCCAATCATAAGTGTTCAAGTGGTGGTTTACGTGTTGGTGTGCTACCCATACTGATTTTACTCCTCGATGCCTTATTCCAAACGTGCGGTGTTGATTCATGGGATTTAACAGAGCGTCGCCCTGTTGTGCAGCCAGGGGCAAGCAACGAAGCATCAGGTTTTACATGGTGTTGCTTCAAAATACTTAGGTAAGCGTAGGTCCTTTGTACAAATCCATGCTCAACCTCAACCCAGTCACTGTCCCAGCGCACCACAGTGAGGTCAAAACATAAGATTTGGCGGTACGGTCATGCCACGGTCTGTCCGACGCAGCAGTCAGCGCACAGCGCAGAGATTTCCCCTGGTGTGCTCAAAAAAAGATGCCACACTGTTTGAGGCGTCGAAGAGGACCGCCAGAAATTGGGGCCAGTGATGGTGCACCTCTTGAAGCACAAGTTGCATTCCCTCCTCAAGGCCAAGGATCTGGTGGGGTACCGGTTGCTGCTGAACACGCAGATTCGCGGTGCTTGAAAAGCTGGAAAGGCTTGCTTTCGTTTCATGTGTGTGTTTCATGTGGTTTCAAGCAGTCTTGAAGTGCATATGGCAGAATTGAATTCAACATCCCTGGAGAGTCTTCGGGCAGATTAGGAGTGATCATGAGATGTGAAATGTGTAATGTTGGATCTTGATGAGTAAAAGGGACCCCCCTCAAACAAATGGGGGAGCCTTTATTTAAAAAAAGAAACTACCACTAAAACAAATCTGGGTTCCTAGGAGGATTCCTTTTTGGAATTGATTGTAGTATTCATTTTCCTTTCTCTCTTTGTAGTAGTAGTAGTTGTTGTTGTAGTTGTAGTAGTAGCAGTAGTAGTAGTAGTTGTTGTTGTAGTTGTTGTAGTAGCAGTAGTAGTAGTAGTAGTAGTAGGAGTAGCAGTAGCAGTAGTAGTAGTTGTAGTAGTAGTTGTTGTTGTAGTAGTAGTAGTAGTAGAAGCAGCAGTAGTAGTAGTTGTTGTAGTACTGGTAGTTGTTGTAGTAGAAGCAGTACTAGTAGTAGTTGTAGTAGTAGTAGTAGTAGTAGTAGTAGTAATAGTAATAGTAGTTGTAGTTGTAGTTGTTGTAGTAGCAGTAGTAGTAGTAGTAGTAGGAGTAGTAGTAGTTTTTGCTGTTGTTGTAGTTGTTGTATACTCATCAATACCCTCAGCAAGCCAACCATTGTCTTAGTAGTATTAAGAATTACGCTGTTTTTTTATGTTTCTTCAGGAAAAACTTTGCACAATTGAGGGCCCTTAAAACAAATTCATTATTGAGGATCACGGGCCTTCCTGGTCTACTACCTTGAAAATTTGTTTAGGAGCAATCTTTTCATAAAGGATTGATTAGGGAATTGATGGTTTTGGGAAGCTGTCAGTTTTGAAGAACTATAGAAACCTATACTTATCAATAAATACCCTCAGCAAGCCAACCATTGGCTTCGTGGTATAAAGAATTAGTATGTGTATGTTTCTTCAGGAAAAAAACTTTGCACAATTGAGGACCCTTGAAACAAATTCATTATTGAAGATCACGGGCCTTCCTGGTCTACTACCTTGAAAATTTGTTTAGGAGCAATCGTTTCATGAAGGATTGATTAGGGAATTGATGGCTTTGGGAAAATGTAGGTTTTGAAGAAGAACTATGGAAACCTATACTTATCAATACTCTCAGAAATCCAACCATTGGCTTAGTAGTATTACGAATTATTATCTATGTTCCTAAAGGAAATATACTTAACCCTAATATTTTTCACATAATAAGAATAACGATCCCAAAGAAATTTAGCAAAATAGAGGACCTTTAAAACACAGGGTGTCAAGAAATATTTATCCAACATTATCCACGATGTTCCTTCAATAAGTGAAAGTGATAAGGGCAGTATTTTGCTCCAGGTCTTTCTTCAGTCAACCAAGGATGACCCATCTTGGAGGCTTCAAGGTTGATGTCGTGGACGACGTTGTCCCCTGCTTTGAACCAGATCCCGACTCAAAGCCTGACTCCTTGTCGGTCATCGTATCGCGATTCTTCTATCAGATTCTTGGTTGACAAGCGTGACATCTCCTTCAATGTCTTTTTGGACTTCCCCCCTCTTTGGAAGGAGTCCTAGTCCTAGACTGGCTGAGTGAGTTTGTTGTCAAATACCTAGCCTGTCCATGCCTGTCATATTTTTAGGCTGCATAACTACTTGGACTTGTTGCGGAAAAAAACAAGTTCTACCATTTCTACCATTTGTTCATGCTTCTTGTACCAGGAATGGCTTCAAAGGAGTCAACGATGTGGACCGTGCCGGCTGGTCACCTCTCCACTATGCCGCATTGAATGGAAATCCACAGTTGATTCAAGGCTTACTGGAGCAACGGGCAGATCTGAATTGCAAGACCCACAAAGCTGCTGGTTTGCACTACCTTGGTTTTTTGGTTCCTCCATGTTCCTCCTCCATGTAGTTAACGTGCTCCCATCCCATCCATTAGTCCGTGTCACCATCCAGCAAGGACCAACCAATCATTGGCATGCACGGCCACGCGTCTGCACTGGTCATCAGCCTTTTCTTCAAGCAAAACAAGGTTGTGCGCTTGTTGCTGGAAGCTCGGGCCATCATGGACGGAGGCCTGCATCCTCCGATCTATTGTGCGGCCAGGGCAAGCAACTCCGAAGGTGTTCGCTTGTTGTGCGAAGCCAGCTGCAACATCCACGCAAGGGATTTGCATCTCAGCCTTCAGCCAACAAGTTCTTTGCTGCATACATTTGAAGAGGGAAAAGCAGACAAAGCATCAAGAACTGCATTGAAGGTTTTTATAAGACTCTTATATGTCCATGTAGAAGTGCATCAAAATCATAATATAATAGTATATAATATATTGCTGTTTTACTACCATTATTATATGTTATTTAAATGCCATATGATGAGTCACCCATAGCCGCCCCTCCCCCGAAAAAAGCAAACAAGGGTTGGTTTTGGGGCTCAATATGTACTGTAGGTATACTGTAGATGGACCCATGGAGTTTGTTGGTCAGTTCGGACAAGAATTTGAAGAGAATTCAACTGAAAACCACGGAACCACGGGCCTGAATGCGCTAGAGCCGCTAGAGGTTTGCACCAGTTTTTTGATATGCGTCACCAATGAGGCACTTCATCACTTGGAGCGTGCTCCCCTCCCAAGTCTCATTTTCATGGACAAAATCCTTCGGAGTCTACCACGGGAGGGCATTCCCCATTCTGAGCTTCTTTTCTTCTGGCGACGGGTAACGGGTAACGGGACAGGAATTCTTCAATCGTCGCAGAGACGACCAAAACAAGAGTGGCGAACACTGGGGATACGAACCACTTGAGACATCACACTCATCAGGTACACTCACATCACACTCATCAGGTACACTCACATCACACTCATCAGGTACAGACATATGATATGGGCTTGTTTTTTTTTTAGGTGTCCAGTTTATGTAGGGCTGGGATGTTCGACTTAGGCGAAGCATACCCCCGAAGCACACCCTGAAGCATACCCTCTGAAAATGATACTGTAGTCTTCACACTGCGCAAAGCATACCCCGAAGCATACCCCCGAACCTCCGAAGCATACCCCATAGTCAAACATCCCGGCCCGGGAACCTTAAAACAATACAAACCCATATGGTTTTCTTCTACGTGGAGTTGTTCACTCGTGCTGCGAAAGGGATCTCAGGCCAGGCCATGCCCCCCCGTCACGGCCATGCGAATTCCGCACAACAGCACGGTCACCATGCTTCGTTCTGTGACTGCCGCACGGTCACGTGGCCGTCTCAGGTACGATGTCTCAGGCTTTGAAGCTGCCGCCATGAACGGAGCTCGTACTTCCATGGATGTTTTGGCTGCGGCAGGTGCCCTGGAAAGCGCCAACATGGGCAATGTGCTTTTTTGGTCGCCGCTTGTTCGCACTTGAGGAAGTGTCACGACATGATGTTTTGAGGAAGTGTCACAAACCGGAGATCGTTGGTTTGGTGTTCTACTTTCCTTGCGCAAACCATGACTGTCCCTGCAAAACTGGCTCTATTCTGGAAAAGCAACCGCAATCGCATGGAATTGCCAATGAACAACTAAGGCAAGTCTTTCGGGGAGGTCAGCGGGAGACTTGGCCGATTTTGTGCCAACAAAGTGGACGTTCGACCAACAGTTGTTTCAACAAAAACAGTACTGTTTTGCAAATGTCTTGCACATGATTTTGTTCGCTTGATTCCCAACTGTTTGACGTGGCATTTGATGGGGCTCCTAACATAAAACATGCATGTTCGGAAGCGTCTCTTGCACTTTCATGAATTGCACGATTGTCAAACCTTTGTACAAGAGCTGAAGGCACATCGGTAATTTTTTCGATCGAATGTGATTTCCAGTTGAGGAGATGGTCCAACATTTGCTGGATTTGCGGGCTGATGTGAACTATCAGTACGGTTGGCCATCCCTTCGGACCACCTTTGGGCAGTTTGTGGCCCTGAACACGCTGAAGTACCGGCTGGGCAACCGAACCCGGAACCCCCGACGCTGCTTTCACGGAGTGGAAGGGACACCACTAATGATGGCGGTGATCGCCGGGGAATACGAAGGAGCTGCTGCCCTGATTGCAGCAGGAGCAGACATCAATATCCGCAATGGGCGGGGGGTCACTGCGGGCGATCTAGCACAAGGATTGGCTGTGCCAGATTTCTTAGCGGAGGGTCTTCTTGGTCGGCGAGCAGAATGTGAGAGAATCCTCTCAATTTCACTCGCAGGCAGCCTAGTAGAAACCAAGCTTTGATGCAGCCATTCCAAGCTCAAGGCTTCGATGTTTCTTTGTTTTCAACTTTCTGTCATTTCCATCAAAGAGTGAAAGGACCTTCGGATCCGCGTCTCAAGCCTGTTAGTTTGAGCGGCTTGTGGATATGTTATATGGTTTTGGACGCGTCTTCAGATGTTTTCCCAAGCACCTCACTATCTTAGTGATAAGACAGAACATCAACAAAGTGGAATTTGTCAGTCATCGCCATGGTTTTCTGTCGTCAGAAACACTTACTGTCGTCAGAAACCGGTTGGCACGAGTTCGCCTCATTTCCGGCCAGCAAACTTGGGAAGGGTACTGAGAGACTCCAAAAAGACTGGAAGTCTGGCCTGATGGTGCCTACACTCCATGCGAAACTAGCATTTAACCACGACCAGGTTACCTTAACCACGACCAGTTTACCTTAACCACGAGAAGTCTCCTTAACCACGACCCCAGGTCCTTGCGAGCCTACATTGGGGTGGTTAACCCCAGGTCAATGGCCTGCTGTTGTTCCAGTCCCATGGATTTGGAGGAAAAGCACCGCTCGAGCTCGTTGTCTTTCTTTCGGCACGGCACACCGTCCCACATATCACGGGGGGGATTGATTCACGCGGCGGAAGTATCTTCCGAAAGAAAGGAAGATCACAGAGGCCCCGAACTACTTTTGAAGCATTGTTTATGAAGCAAAATTAGGAAACAGAGTCTTATAGTTTGTTAGGTGTTTGAATATTGATTTGTGCTTCAGCGTGAAAGTCCGGCACGTCCACATAAGTGGTGTGCCAGAGACCCCAGACCCCCACCGCCCATGCGCACCGAGTTTTGCGGCCGCCATGTCCAAGTTTCGACTGGTTCACTGGCTGCATGACCTTCCTTGGACCATCAAATCCCACTTAGGCAACTCATCCAATGTGTGGTTGTCGTCAATGATTGCACCAGAAGACAAGCAAGATCAAGCAAGTGTATACTGACTGGAGGAGATTTACTTTTTGCTGTCGATTTGTGCTGTCCATCTACGCTATCTTGGTTTTGCTCAGGGTGATGTTTATTTTCCCCATGGGTGAATCCCCTTCATAGGTTTTATGTGTTCCTGGCTTCCTGAACAGCAAATCCAAGCGATTGCAGACGCCTGCCCATGCTGCTTCAGGCACTTCTTTTTCCGGCTCTCTGGCGTTTGGCCGGGTGTTTTTTCTCCTTGACGCCCAGTGATAACATTGAAGAGTTTCAATGATGAGTTTTCTGGCCAAAAGCATCCAAAGCATCCAAGTTTCCTTTCTAGAGGGGGTAAACCATCTAAAAGAAATTGACCCCCCCCTCCCCCCCAAAGCAGTGGTGGATCAAAGCCCTTTTATCATACTGAACAGGCCATCTAAGGCCCAAGTGTTCCGGAAAAAAACAAAAACATCTGCACTCCTCGCCCTTTGGAGCGTAGGGTTGGGGCAAGGTGACCAACTGGATCGGAAGATCCGTCTTGTCCTTAAGACCTTAAGAGTTGATCAGCTTCAATCGTTCAAGAGCAAATGATGCGAGGCACATATCATATATATATATATGTTGTTTTCCTTTTTCAAGCAGGGGGGCTCCTGCTACCGCACATGGTGATATGAACAAGCATTTTGGCCCACCAATGCATTTGGTCGACTTTCGGGTAGCATCATGGGGCGTTTCAGGTCGTGTCACCTGCCGATTTCGGTTGAGCTCACCGCCCCCCCAAAAAATGGTGTCAGCTTGCAACCGATTGCACTGTATAGGTCGCTTCTTTCATCCTGGACCGGCCATAGCCGCAAAAAAGGGCCAGGAAGCGAGCCACTCGGGAATCTGGAGTCTTTATTAAAGGACATGTTGGAAGGTTGGGGCAATGATTATGCTGAACAAGCACAGACACATAAGGCCATTGACAGTGCAAATGGGAAATGCATGGGTTCATGCGTATCCACGTCAACATGCGATCCGGCAGCAAAAAGGCGTACCCTTGCAAAGGTTCATACGCATCCAGAACATGGTAATAACTTGCTTTACCTGGCTTCGGTCCTTTATTAGGGGTTGCAGGAAATGGCAATCGTCAGCTCCTGTGTCGGTAAAACAAAATGTAAAAGACATCATATATGTTTGATAAAGATCTTTGACCCTCTAAGAAAGATAAAGAAGATACACATATTGTATCAAACATAGTGGCGGAAGTGGATGGAACAGACCCGTGGCGCCTCGGGGTTGCTCGGGTCTCACCAGGGGTCGCACCTGGGGCAAATTCCGTTCCGCGGAAAGGAGGTATACATGGATTCCATTCCAAAACACCAAAACAGCCGCAACAGTTTCGCAACAGCTTCGTCAATAGTGGGCAAAACTTTGCGCCTGTGCTGAGAAGTTTTGTCATGTTTATCAAACCATCTCCACTAATTAGCATCATCATCCATTGCAATCCTGAAAATCAGAGGATCACCCAAAGCTAACTGGAGGATTTGAGGTTGGATACCATTCTACCATTCCCTACTCTACTACTGTGCTTTGTATTCTTCCATTCTTCTATAGTCAGCCCGTGTGATTCCCTCCCCGCTCGTGACGATATTTCCAAGAAGTTTGACAGGGTCATTTCGTTCGAGGCAGTCACAGGGCTTGCCAGCAGAGGTTGAAGAACCCTATAGACTATTCTATAGGTACCACTGTAGGGTCCTATAAGGTCACTTAACCTCTAGGTGGAGAATCAAACAGTGCTTGTTTGTCCGTTTCGGGGCTGAGCACGGAAGACTGAGCGGAAGACGATGGGGCAGCCAAAACCGCGTCGTGCTACCTCTCTCAAGGCTTCCAGGAAGTTAAAAGCACCCCTAGCCTTCCAAGACAGTTCTAAAAATGGTTTACCTGGTTTTTGTAGTGTAAGTAAAATCCAATGTCTCAGGATTCGAGTCATTGCATTCATAGTGGGCCGGGAATCATGGGGGCACACTCATGATGAGTATCGAGGAGGTGGTTATAGGTTGGTTGATTCTTTGAATCTTTTTTGACTAAGCTCGTAAGGATTTGCAGCATTTACATTCTACCACTACCATTGTCAACCAATACCAAGTAGCGCAAAATTATACCAGACCTTTTTTTCTGCCAATCGTGGGACCCTGTTCCTGGGTCGGGCACCAAAGAATCAACCGATGCTCCATTTGGAGGCGTTGTCCTTGAGGACCTGGCGAATCAACAGTCGACTTGGCCAAATTTTGTTTGGAAGCCACCTCAGAGAGAGAGGTTTAACTCAACAACTCAACCAGGGGGATGTTTAGGTCTATTATCAAAAATGTCCATGACGTTTTGGTGTGATTTTTGTCAAGAGCTTGTCAGTTTTTGCACCGTATAGAACCATCGTTGACGAGTTTGAATCATTCTACTCCTGAGACCGTTTGAAGGGGTCCCGCCTGCACAATTTAGGCATAAATGAAATATTAAACAAACTCGTGCTGGGATCTCTGGGTAGGTGTGGTAAGTCAAGATCCGCGTAACCGACCTGTATAGATTCAGATGATATGTATATTATATATATATGTACATTTTTGGTAGCATTATATGTATCCAGAATTTGGTAGGAGCTGTGTAAAGCAGCAGGAAACATGACTCCGAAACCAAGATTGTGTCTCAACATGTTTGAGTTCCGATTTCTTTGGTTCTTTGGCCGATTTCTTCTGATTCGAACATTCAAAACCAAGCGCCCGTGGCACGTGAACCATCAGCTCGTTGATCAATCCCAAGCTCGATCGTCTACGATCTCAGGTGATTGCATGACGAAAAGCTGAAGATCAAAAGCTGAAGATGCAGATTCCTAGATGGATAGGACTACCAGACACCCGAAATGAGACACCTACTTGCAGACTTCTAGAAGAATTGTAGAAGGAAACTTCCCTAGATAGATAGGACTACCCCCCATCTACACCTCCTTCAAAGAACTCAAGTTTTGGAGTGATCAGCTAGTTTCTGTGTTCGACCATCAGTGATATGAGAGACTGATGAGGCAACTGATTCGATCTGCTGCGTCGGACGCCTTCGACGGGACGTCCTCGGGTCCCGTGAGGTAGACCGACCGAGACCGAGACCGAAACGGCCGAGGTCAACACGTCTCGACCCGGGTTGAGCAGGGACAGCGGGTTCAGGGATTCCACACCGAAAGTTTCAACAGGCTGTATCAATCAAGGTAGTCCTACTTGTAGCATGGAAGAGCTCGACGTTGCTCGGTGGTTCTTGCTGAATAGGACTGGTCATAAAGGGCCCTCAGTTCGGATGAGAAGAAAGACACATTGCAAAGTGGTTGTCCTACGTCCTACTCAAATTGGGAGAATTGGCCAACTGGAAGATGGTCAGATCAAATTTTAGAGTCCACTCCATCATCCCCAATCCATTCTTGAGAGTCAAAACTACCAGCAGTTCAGTGCCATCCACTGACTTAGGGACCAAGCACCACCCCTTTGTAACTCCTGGTGTCCTTTTCGATCTAGTTTGCACCACTGCGATGTCCCTTGATGTGCGCTGACTTTGCCAAGAAGAATTCATGGGTCGCCCTGGGTGCCTCTGCGTTGGTCAGAGCATCAAGCATTGGAAGATATTGGACCTGGAAGATTCATATGACATAATGACGAAGTGCTTACGTTATAGTAGCCATTGATGTCACCAACAGCCCTTTATTCAGTCTAGTAACTGACTAGTAACGTAACATATTCATTATCAATAGGTCAATTATAAGAGTGTCAATAGGTGTATACGGAAAAGGGTGCCCGCGTCCGCACTTACTGTAGATGTTCTGGCGTTTGGCACCGGTGCCACGGCCACCGGTGCCATGCCCAGCTGTGGCAGCTGCGTGGCCGAAAGCGCCTCCGTTGCGGCATCCGATCCGATCGGGTGCAGCTTCCTTCACTGGAATGGACCAGGTCGTATCATACACCCTGGTCGAAACGACTGAAAACGATCGGTTATTTGGAGCCGGGAGAAGCACCTGGCTGAACATCTCCTTGACTGGGGAAGCATTGGTCATCAAGCCATGGGGAAGACTCATTTGCTTGAAGGATGGGAGAGACGATGAAACATGGCCTTTCACCAATGGAGTTTCCTTGGCCGGTTCTTGTGCCCGGCCCCTCCGGCCCTTCCCCTCTTGGTCGTATCCCGTCCAGGTCGACGCTTTATTTGATTTGGCTCCAGAACCTTTGCCTTTGCTACGCAAAGCCGCGCCACCGCGGCCAAGCTTTGCATCAGTCTCTTGGAGGGTCTCCGCGTTGACCGTTTTGGACCCAGGAACTGCAGCACCGGAACGCGCTGATTTCTTCGGAACTCGACCAGGTCCACTTCGAGAGTGCCCATGAGTTCCCTTCAAAAAGGGTTGCTTACCTACAGACGTGACCTGAACTAGGACCCTACAGGGGTACCTAATAGGATAGATAGGATAGTCTATAGTGTTCTTCAACCTCTGCTGGTAGTTGCTTCTTGGGACCGGCAGCCCATGAGTTTATTCCACAGCGGTCCCTCCGTCAGCCTGGTCCCTTCGCCGACGTGGTCCGTGGTCCTCACGGCTTGGGGGGCCCACGGGTCTCCAATACAAACCACGTAACTGGTTGACGGGTGCCAGGCGTTGACTACTTGTGACGGGTCGGTGAAGCGTTGTCTTTTTCTCACAGGATGGGTACAGAGTCGACATGGCACAAAGCGAACTTCGGAGTTTGTTGAGCTTTGGACATGAAGTGTTCTGAAGCGACCACGAAATGGATTCGTCCAAAAGTACCTATAGTGGATACTCGTGATGTTTAACCCCATATGAACGAGGTCTTACAATGCCATGTTTGGGGAGCTTTTATGCAACAGTCTTCTTTACTTAGACTTGCCCGGCTTCAGCGAATCCCTACACGACTCTATGAAGTGCCCATACCAGGCAGCCCTGCTCAGGTCATGAGGCGCTTTGCAGCCACTTTGACGTTCTTTACCGTTGCCTCGGCCTCCTGTGTGCCTCGTTTGGGGTAAGGCACATGGTGGAGTGAGTTCAAAGGTGGAGAACGCTTGGCATGTGGCAAGGGCAGGTTGAGTGGTGAGCATTTGCCATTTACCATAATGTTTCCATGACCATAGATTGCACACATTGCGCACATTGCAAACATATATTTGTATATATCTTCAACCCATCTCTTCCCCTGTTTGCCATGTGCAATCACAAATATAGTCAAGGGAATAACCTTGAATAATCTCAAGTTCTCCCGGAAATATATTCCTAATCCATGATTGAATAGTTTATGAGGGCTGAACTAATAGAAAATTGTTTGTCACGTTTATTGCTTTTATTGTTTGTCTACAGTAGTTTCTATGGTTGAGCTACGATGTCACTTTAAGAAACGTTAGGATCCTTGCTTAAGCTCTTCAGAGGCTTTCCTTGATTTCTAGAACTCTGACCTACTACTACTACT